CCTCCTCGCGCGCGCATGGCAGGCTGTGCAGCAGCGCGTGGATGCGGATGTAGTGCGTGCGCGGCGTCTCGGGTTCCATGCAGGCCGCCGCGATCACAGTCTCCAGCTCTGACACCGGCAGTGAGCACGGTCGACTTCGCCTCTTGGCCGAGGCCCGCAGTGGCAGGGTACTTTCCTCCTGCTCCGGATTGGAAGCCTCTCCCTCTTCCACCTCCACCACCTCCTCCTCCACCTGCTCCTGCTTCTCTGCCTCCTCTTCCCCTCCTGCCCTGCTTCCGGGAGCCGCTTCCTCCTGCCCCAGGTCTTCCTTGTTGGTGAGAGCATCGCCATCCTCCAGCAGGGGCGGTGGTGTTGCCTCGTCATCCAGGCCAAGCCCCTCAGCCAATTCCTCTGCACTCAGGGCAGGCTGAGTGTCCTGTGGCTCCCCAGCCCCCTCAGGTTCTTCAAAGGCCTTTCCCTGGTCTTCTGGCCCCATGGTGCAGTACACATCTTCCACTGGCCCTGCAGGCTCCAGACTCTGATTTCCTGCACCGTCCATCATATTGTCCTCACTCAAGGGATCTGCCTTCAAGCTCTCGCAGGGATTGGGAACATCATCTGGGGGTTCCCCACGGCTGCTTCCCAGCAAGCTGTTCATGAGGCTGCTCTGAGTTTCTGCGGACTCAGGCTCAGTGCTCAGTGAAATCTCCTCATCATCTGCTGGCAAGAAGAAAACTATGTCATTCCTTCCCAAAGAGAGTGTGAGGCTGCTGGTCCACTGTGCAGCAATGCAAGTCGCCACTAAGGGATTTCTACAGTAGGGTATTAGATGTAGGGGTTGATGAGGGTTTCTCACTGGCCAGAGCTCTGCCGAAAAATTCTGTAAGAGTGAATTCTAGTTATGTTAATGACAATTTGTAGTAGTGGGTATATTTTTGAAAAAAAATTTTTTTGTTAAAATGCCAAAATAGAATTTGCTCAACAGTGTTTGCTACATGGGATGACTTCCAATGATGGGGTGGTTTATGGTTCCTTAGAATCCCTGGCAAAGTTAATTGTACTGGCTCCGAATGTTTTCTATGGAAGGATCTCCAAGGGTGCCTGAATAGATGAGCCAGGCTTTTAGGCAACCAGAGAGAATAAAGGGGTGGACTGCAGATGGGAGCAATCACAGTCATTTGAGCTTATTGAAATAGAAAAATAAACAAGGTCTCCACATGAAGCAGCCATTCAAAGAGCAGCAAGTACTGTTTAACTCTCCCTCCCTCAACTGCTCCACCATAGGATTCCCTACATGAGGTGAATGTCTGCATTTCAAGTACACTAGTGCAATTCACTAGGTGAAGAAAAACAATTTCTTAAGTGAACTGTAAAGCTATACTTATGGGTATACCACAGAAGAGTCTGTTTTATTCACAAAAGGTAGCAAAAGGCTGATTTTCACTGGAAAAAGCAGTCAAGATGTTTACTTATAATGCGAGGTGTACTCTGGGTACAATTAGAATAGTACAATTGGAGTTTAATGAGTGTGTCATAATAGGCTCCTCACTCTAGATTCTCAAAATCTTTGCAGGCTTTAACAACAACTTATTAATGTGGCCCAAGAGAACCTAGCAAGTCTCAGCCTGATTTACACATACTATGGGGGCTATGGGAGGAGAACAAAAGTGAAAATTAGGAGGCATCTCATTATTCTTATTTAGACATATGTTTTGGCCTGAAAAACCAAACATGGGGATGATTCTGAAATTTTCTAATTTATATTTTTCCATTTTCTCTGTGATATTGTAGGAATTCATTGTGTAGTAGTTCATAGCTCATAGTTCTTTGATAATATGACGTTCCTCATCTATGGGCCAGTCTATATCCAGCGATGTGGTAGAAAGAGATGATTCCTATTCATTCACTCACTCATGTGCAGTGATTAAGTAACTACTGAGCACCTTTGATGCAGGTGTTGCCAGTAAATGCTAAGTATGTAGGCTCTGTGTTTACACTGGCCACACCCTCAAACCCCATTCCACGGTGTAACCCTCTACCTGTGGGTCACCAGAGTGGAGAAGAGCCTCTCAATCAAGGAGACAGCAACCTGGCTTCCAGAACACATCACTGGCTTCCAGGTCTCAAAAGAAGATAGAGAAGCATAAAACCTAGAACATGTCTGGAGAGAACAATGGCTATTTTGCTCTAGACAGAGGAACAATACTACAACAGTAGCCCAGGACAAGACATGAAGTTCATGCTGAAAATACCTGGATGGATGGAGGAAGTGATCTCAAATCGGAATTGCAGCTGTCCACTCACATGATCTGTTGGAAGCCTTCGGCCAAGTGTGTAGCTGACCACCCTATCCCTAGAAGGAAAAAAGCACCATCACAGATCAGGTCAGTACTTCTTGTATAGACCAGACAGTGTGCTGTCTGTACTCGCAGCTGAGACAAGCAAGCCCAGGGAAGTCTTGAAAATGGGAGGCCTTGATCTGGCCTGGTACATAGGAGACAATCTTAAGGTAAAAATGGGAACACAGATATGAACAATCGCAAGGTAATTCTTAGTACTCCAAAACCCAGTGAACTACTTAGTGAACCTCTAATTTGGGCCACCACTTGTTTTTGTATGACCTGGAGCTTTTTACATGTTTGAATAGCTGGATGAATGTAACTATACTGTATACCTAAAATGTAAAAAAAAAAAAGTTGGAAATAAAATCACAATCCATGGAAGAATAGTATCTCATGAGACATGAAAATCACATGAAATTCAAATTTCATTGTCCATAAATAAAGTTTAACTGGGATGAAGTCACACTGATTTACTTATATTGTCTGTGACTACTTTCATGCTGTGGTAGGGGGGTTCAGCAGTTTGGACAGAGATCATGTGGTCTGCAGAGCCTCAGTTACTTACTCCCAGGCCCTTTACCAAAAAAGTTTGTTAACCTGCGTTCTAGAAAAGAAAAATAAAGACAAGTCAATGTCTTTTGCTTGCTTTTCTTATACAGACCACTATTTCCCAAATATGCTCTTAACTCGAGACACTGCCAACACATGCATGTCGTGGGGTATGTTTATAACGTATGTGTAAGAAGAGGTATCATCAAGGTGTGATAGAGAGCCCATGGTTGCTGTGGAAAGCCACCTGCTGCAGGACAGAGCAGGGCAAGACGTGTGGGCTGAGCTCAGTGGCCTTTGACTTCCAATTACACCAACTGCAGGGCTTGCACATAAAGAGACCCTTAGTCTCCATCTTGGACTCTGACTCCATCCCATCTAAGCACTCAAAGCAATTTCTTAATTACTAGAAAGAAAGCTATCTGGGGGAGTCAACCTGATGGTCTGCTGTTATAGTTTCATCCAAAAATGTAGCTTCTGCAGGCAGAGTACCTTTGGCTTTAGCAGAGTCAATTGCCTCTACCTTGGCAAAAATAGAAAGAGGCACTACCTTGGGATGTGCAGGAATTAACAAATCCAGTGTGCTCAATGATAACAAAAACATACAGCATTCTAAGACCAATTCCTACTCTGTATTCCTTCCATGTATTCACTTGTGACATTTACATAAAAGGATGAAAATTACTGGCTGGTAGTGTTTTAACTTTTCACTTTAGAGAACACTGACATTAGGAAAAGATATATATTCCAGTGATTCACTGACTTGATGTTTTTCTTTGCTAAGCCACAATTTAGTGTTTAGTGTCAGAAATTCATTAAACTAAAAAATTATAGAAAGGAAAAACAGGATAAGCCACAAAATTTTGTCTATGTAGAAAGGGCCGTGGTTACTATTATGAAGTGGTATATGATGGCAGTAAGCAAGACACATATGAACTCAAAACTTAATTGAATCAACTTAAAGATGACCAGATGGTAACATAGAAATATAGTGGTACCTTAAGTCATGAATTTTATGTGCTTCATGATTCTGATAAAGATTACCATGGTCGTGTTTGCACAGGAAACATGGCCGTGGTCCTGTTTGTCACCTGATGCACTGTTCACAAACAAAACATTTGCCAAGTGCTTCTATTTGTAAACCAAACTGTTTGCAAACAAAGGCATTCATGAATCAAGGTACCATGGTACATTTATTATGCTTTGCATTTGCCATCTAAGATTTTCTTTCTACAACTCAATCCACATATTACCCTCAAAAGTACTCTGACACTGTGTACTGTGTCATTAAGTAACTTCCATTGTCCAACTGGGGACATGAGGTATGACCACCAAGTAATGGTTCACTTCCAAGATGGCTGAGGTTAAGAACCAGCTGAAGGACAGGACATTACAGGTAAAGGGACCGAGGCAGGGCTGGAATATGTGTGTGTGTGGATGGGGGGGCACAATTGTCTGAAGGCAAGGAGAAAGCAATAGATTCAGGGAACTTACGTGAAGTGCATTTGTGAGGACAGAGGGAAGCTGGGTTTGCTTCTGTTCTAGATGAATTCTGGGAATCTGCTATGGCTTAGGTCAAATGACTATTCTTTCTAAGAAGTCCCGTCATGTCCTGCTCCTCCTACACTGGATGGCTCCAGGATGGGCAGCATTGCAGAAGTGTCTGTCAGGGGCTATGGGTTATCCTGTCAGAGGAGGTGAGAAGAGAGCACCTCACGGCTTGTGATTGCCTCCTCTTGGAGAGGGGTTAAGCTCATTTGTACTTACTTGTCTAGACTTTGCTTTTCCTTGGTTGGCAAGAACACTAGAGATATCAAGCTAACTTTGTGCAGGTTAGAAAACTTTTTTTAAAACCTCAATTGCTTGCTTTCACCATTTGGGGGAAGTATCTTCCAAAACAGTCAGTCTAGGAGTGTAGGATAATGACAAGAAAAAATGAGCCAGCAGCTTGGGCTTATGAAAACTACTTAGATCGAGGGACAGACTGTTTCCCTCTGTGGCTGCAGTGAGCACCACAGAGCAGTTCAACAGGTACTAACTGAATATTTATTATAATAAAACACACATTCACACATTGCCATTAATTCTCTTCAAAATACGCCCCCCCCCACACACACTCACTTCAAACAGTTGTCCCATTGCTGCTTTCTGAGGCAGTTCTGGAAGTCTTCTTTCATGAGTGTATTTAGTTGTACTGTCATGGCTTCCTCAGTGTCCTGAATTGATTAAAAAATGTTTCCCCTTCCTGGTCATTTTGACTCTGGGGAAGATCCAGAAATTGTAGTTCCTGGGTTTCCGCTGGACAGCACCCTGGCAGCAGCATTTACTGCAGTTCTGATCACACTTCATAACAACACTCATGAAAGAGGACTTCAGAACTGCTTCAGAAAGAGGCAAGAACAATGGGACACACGTGTGTTAAGTGAAGGGCGGATCTGGAGGGAAATCAGTGGCAGTGCGTCTTCTACTGTAGGAACAATTAAAAAATTTGCTCATTCCTTATATATTTTCATCATACCTCATAGAAAAACAATTCCAAGAACCCTGCAAGGAGCCTCTTGGGGCTCTTGGTCTTTGGAGAGAGACAGGTGTGTGTTAGACTCAGCTGCATCTCTGGCCCTCACATGCTTCGGCTTAGGGAATTACTCATCCCTTCTAAGTTCCTTTTCTGTATTTGGAAGAACAGAAGTGCTATGAGGACTAGATGAAATAACAAGGGTCATGAAGAGGACCATTCCTGGTTTGAGTTCCAATTAAACAGCTTTACAATAATTTTTAGTCATGCCCAAGTCACGCCAAAGAACTTTAAGACGTGGGGAAATTCTGCAGGATATTTCTCACGCCTTTCATTCTAAGGGTTATATCATATTGAAGCATATGCTTATAGTCAAAGAGCTATGCCTAGTGTTTGCAAATATAGCTGCCATTACCTGAAGAAGTGAATATTATACATAAGGAGTTTTAGGATCATAGTTCATCTTAATGAGAACTATGGGTGAACATGAAGGTAAATGGTCCAAAACACAGAAATATATTCTCATAAATAATGGCATTCTGCAAGTGACATGATTAATGTCATTTCTTAAGAATCTGTGTTTTCAAAATGCAATTCATTTTACCTAGCATTTTCTGAACATAGTAGCATCTTCTGAGATACTCTACTCAAGTAACTTAGCTTTTCATCTTGTTACAGAAATGTCACTTATGCTTAAATTCTAGATACAAGACAGGCATATGAAGAAAATAATATTCTATACAGTAAAACAAACTTTAATATCTATTTCTACAGAAAAATGTCTCACTGATGATTTCTCCTAATACTGTCTTAGGATTTTCTGCTCTCTTCCATATGTGACCTGGGATATGCAAGGAAAAGAGAAAGATTTGTTTAATTGAATGCTGTAGCTCCGGCAATATAACTAATAGGAGAAGCCAAGGAAATGCAACATTCTAGTTTATTCTCTGTGAGGCTCTGTCTTATTGCAGCTTCCAGGCCCTTCTGTGGCCTGGCCTGTTGGACAAAGCCCAGTGATGCTGAGCTCCCAGTCACAGGTTTACCCTATGGCGTGTCTCTCCAGGAGTCTCTGGACTGGCATCGACAGCTTTCCCAGGAAGCGCTTGATGATAGGGCGGCTCTTGGCAAACTTGTCCTTCACCTCAATTTCTAGCACATCAGTGGGCAAGGACACAAAACTGAATTGCTGCAATGAAAGAATAGGTCACATCAATTACTCGAGAGCTGCAAGAGCTGCCCAATTCCCAGTCCATCTGCCTGCAGGACGTTATTGTAAAAAAACAAAACAACAAAAAAAAAACAGCTTCTATGTCTTGGTCTAGAAATGCTGGGAGCACTGTTTATTCAGTACATGGGGGTTGGCAGTGAGATGCTCCTGGGTGCTCAAAAATAGGGTTATTTTTTTGAAGTATAAGCACTAAAATCAGCACAAATGAAGAGAAAGAATACCACTCAAGCCTGTCCGTACTTCACTTGACTAACGATATTACCATTGTTGAAGAAAGAGAAGAATAAACCCACCTACAATTGAGGAAATATCCCATAAATCAACAAGGGCACATCATAGTTCATGATTATAATGATAGGTTTTTAAAACTTGTATAATAAAATACCTTGCATTCTTGAAAGCGGAAAAAGATAAGGATTTCACTTTATGTGGGATGAAATTGAATTGACCTTTGGCAAGAGAATAGCCCAGTGATGGTGAATCTTTTAGAGCTTTCAACTGATACAAACAGCCCACTGTAGCATGCGTGCCACAGGTTTGCCACCACTAGAATAATTCATATTTATTGGCATTTAAACTGCCATTTCCTGTCAACCCAGAATTCAAATTTTAGGGATTTTTTTTTCTTCTGGATTCACTCACACAAGTGTGCAAAAGGTATATTTTATAAGAATATTCATTGGAGCATCCCTAACAACAAGAAAATACTAGGAAAAAAAAACCCTCAAGCTGTCTATCATTAGGAAACAGACAAAAGAGGTGAACTGAATATGTACTGCCATGTAAGACATCTGGTAAAATAAATGAAAAAGCAAAGCACAGAAGAATATGAGGGCTTCTGTTTGTACTTGGAACTGCAGAAAATGCCTAGAGGATTTTATTCCAAACTGTGAACTCTAGGGTAAAGGCTGGGAGGGGAGGAGAGGAAGAAAGCCTTTTATGTTTTATTGCATTTGATTCTAAACTGTTCATTTGTTAAGTAGCATATACTGTGTCTTTTTAAATGAAAGCAACAAAAATTTTATTTATTTGTTTATTTATTTATTTTGGTACTGGGGATTGAACTCGGGACCTTGAGTTTATGAGGCAGCCAGCGGCACCCCTAAGCTAAATACCTGGTCCAACAATTTTAAATAAAGACTGTGATTGTTTGGAGTTGGTCCGGTCATCAACAAAGTATGGAGACTCAATCCAGACTTTCTGGAAGGAGGAAGTCTTAACTTTGCACTTTGCAGCACCCTAAATCAAGGACTAGGAAACAGTTGAACAACACAGTTATTTTTCTTTTATTATGACTAATTCCTCATAGTAATCTTTTAATTTTAGTTGATTTATATTTACAGAGATATAATATACTGGGCATGACAACGTTAATATCTTCTCTGGCGCAGTCAGGACAAACTAAGGCATGCTATAGTAACAACCAACATCCAAATCTCAGTGACTCAAAATGGCCAAATCTGATTTCATATTCTTATGCTTGTTGGGGGCCAGTGGAACTGCCAATCTCACAAACATTGCCAGGCATAGTAACAAAGACAGAAGAAAACTCAAGAAGCTCTTTTTTTGGCAAATAAATGTTCATTTCCAAACGCAACTCCTTATCAGAACTAGCCACATACCAACCAGCCCAACCCAGGAAGTAGGAAGTATGATCCTATAGTGTGCCTAGGAGGTACAGAACACAGATATTTGGCAAACAGCACTCATGACTTCTATACTCCCCATGTGGTTCTTCTAATTTTTTTTGAGACAGGGTCTCACTATGTAGTTGAGACTGACCTGGAATTCACTATGTAGCCCAGGCTGGTCTCGAACTCACAGCCATCCTCCTGCCTCAGCCTCCTGAGTGCTGGGATTACAGGCATGTGCCACCACACCCGGCCTTCTAATTTCTTTTTTTAAAAATATTTCTAATTGGGATTTCTGGGAAGGTGGTGGAGTGGTGAATATCAGAGAAACAGCCTCTCTGAGATTTGGTGTCCTGATTCCAGAATATAGAAATGTGAGGAAGAGAAGAATGAGGAAAGTGCATTCCCAGGACCCAGCAAGGATCTGAAGCAAGAATTGAAGCCCACGGGAGAGCAAAGAGAGATCTCAATGCAGGAGAAGGAGGTGGCAAGCAGTACTTTCTCCCTAAGCCTTGACTCACTGCATGTAAGGAGGGGCTCAAGCCAGAAGACACGCAGTAACTACTGGTGACCTCAGAGGCTTCCATGGAAAAACACACCAGTGGAATGGAACAGTGGTTGCAATGGACTGCAGTGGCCGGTGAGTTATTGAGATTCAGATGGCCCCCGTGGCGAGGATGACTGGCTGGTAGCCAATTTGGTAAGGAGACAACTGAGTTTGGAACTGACAGGAGCTGTGAGCTCCATCTAGTGGCTCCCTGTGTCAGGGTGAGGCAGAACCACGATAAAATGAGGCAGGTGATCAAGGAGCACAGCTCAAATCAGCAGAGAGTTGAGTTCAAGCAGGCAGGAGGTACATGGAGTATGGTAAGCTGAACAAATCAGGTCCCAGCCTCACAGCCAGAAACCAGGCTAAATTTCAGTGGAACTAAAGGTGCAAGCTTGCTGGGATTATCTACTACCCCACCATAAATGTACAGCTGGCTTGCTGGGATTATTCAATTTGGATCTTGACTCTGTCTGCCCACCCTATCTACCAGTGATAGCAGAGACACACCCTGAAGTGGACATCTTTTTCTTTTCTTGTTTTTGTTTGATTTCTTTTTTCTTGATTGTTCTTTCTTGTCTCTTTCTCTCCTGTCTTCTTGACCAGTTTCCCAAAGTTCAATTTTCCTTTGCCTGAAAGCCTGGCTTCTAATCTCTTCCTCTTCTTCTATTTCTCTATTTTTTGCCCCTAACCCTTTAAAATTTTTCTCCTCTGGGGGTTAAATCACTAAATTGAGGGCATATTTATAGCACACAATTTTCTGGTTTGTTTTAGATTTTGTTATATAATCCCAAATCTAGTTCAAATTGTTAAAGGGGCCAATTAATAGTTATAGATTGGGTACATCTTAGTCTGTGCACATGCTAGAATAGTGTATAATTTTCTAAACTGTAAAAATTTATATTATAATAATTTGTATATAAATACATATAATTACAATATAATTATCATATTAAATGTTAATCAGGTAAAGACTGCTTATTTTACAATATTAAGTAAAAAGAGCAGGACAAATAATTACATATAATTTACAAACACAATACTGTAATGTGAACTGTAGGAGAAGAAAAAAGACTAGAAATAATTACAACAGATTTTAATAGCAGTTCTTTTACCAAACAAGGGTATGTGTTTCTGCATTGCATTTTTCTGTATTTCCATACTTCATGTAATACTTATTATGTTCATAATTAAAAGCTTAATAGCTGTTATTTAAATGAGACATTTTCACCTATAGTATCCTGCTCGGAGCACTGAAATGAACTTATCGAAATGTGCTCTGGAAGTCAGTGGTAACTCCTGGGGTCTTTCCTTTCTCCGCAATTGCTTCCTCTTAATCTTTCTTTTCTGCCCTTACCTATCCCTTTATTCTAGATAACAGCCTTTCCTCACTAGGCTCCTACCTGGATGCTGAGGTTCTTGAAGTCCATGTCAACCCCCAACTAGACCGGCTCTGTTAAAATGTAACTCAGTCTATTTATGGACAAGCAACGAGCACCCATGCATCTACAGCCAGGAAGACTGGCTTTGCACAGCTTCATCTACTGACATGGCTCTTACTGTAAGCCCCTGAGGAAGCTTTGGAGTGCAATAAACTTGGTATTTATCCCTCACTCTGCATATCCAGGTTTTTGACCCTGTCAATTATAATCTCCCTGAACCTCAGGATCTTCACCTATAAAATGGGAAAATAAGGTCCATGGCATGTTAGATGAAGTGAATTCTTCCCTCTCCATTCCTGTTCTAGCCCAACTCTACATGCACCATTCTCTATACTTCCTCCTTTTGATTCTACAATTATTGAACTTTCTTCAAATTTACTAACTCTTTTCAGATGGCCCTAAATGGCCAATACTTCTAGACGGCTGTCTATAGTAATCTACAGGCCCTAGTGAACAGGCAAAAACTACAGTTTCTCTACTAAATCTACTCTTTGTATCCAGGGAAATGACCAAATTTTTTTATTTCAGGAGATATTTATGAATTACATCTTCAAAAAAGTGTTTAAAAATGAGGATGTTTCTGCCTTAAGTCCTCTATGAAACAAACCATTGAGGAAATGAAAGAGAAAATCTCGGGCAGCCTTAAAGTTTGAAGTCTGGCCATTTTTCTTCTTTGTTCTTCACTTTTTGCTCATGAGTTTTTCAGAGCACCTGGAACACAAGCTTGAGCCAAGCAATGAATAAATGACATTTTATCTCCTCACAAGGCACGCAACTGTCTTTAAAAAACAAAAGACTTGTGGTACTCAGGAGTGAGAAACTAAAGTCACACAGGTCACCTCTCCATTAGAACACTGGATTTTAAAATCTCTCTGGGCTCCACATCAGTAAGCAAAGGTTAGGCTTTTTGAAACAGAAAGAGGTATAGAGAAGGCTTAACACTGAGGCCACTAAAGCAAGGTGACAGACACAGTATTCCTAAGGTGTCAAGCATCCTTCTGCTAAACTTTCTTCTGTTAAAGCAAACTTTCTTTTGTTTAAGCACAGACTGTTGGGACTTTTGTTTTTGACCAACATCTCTTCACTTTGATTCTCATTAGAATTATGTGGGCGCTCTGACAATAACATTCCTGAACCCCCTTCTTGACTCATTAAATCAGATTACTTGGAGGGTGGAGAGACCCCTGGGAGTGTGTTAAAGTTTCCCAGGTGACTCCATTGCATGACCTGGGTGAAGAACTGCCTTTCTCCCAATAATAATTCATTTTAATATCAAACAATAACACTGCAAGGAAAACATTCCTTAGAATAAATCTAAATCCTCCTCTGTGACCAAAA